GAATACTTCCTGGAAAGTCGAGCAGATGTCGCCTGAATTAATGATCTGACAAAAAATGAATAACGTACCATTTAGATCAGGATAATCGAATCTGAAGTAAAGTACTCTTAATATATCAGGAATCACCCAACTCAATTTATGCATAAGAAAAAAGAAACCAATATTCTGAAGATGCATCTCGCGTATGAGATGTTTTCGAGGATATTTCTCGTGTTGAAGATGATTTACGTCTATTTTTCGGTTTTCTGGTTCTGCAAGAGGAAATTGTTTTTGAGTTTGGATTCACTGTCATAAATATTATGGCTGCGAATTCCGTTGGTTATTTGAGTTGTTTTTGTGTCCTATCTTGAAATGGTGGAATGTAAAATGCTCAAAGAAAATACTGTACTGTAATAAAATTTTAGGTATATTAATGTTATTCAATTTTTTCTGTTTTCAGTCTGATTGTTTCTCAGCTCTCTCTTGAGTTTTTTTCAGCTAGTCTGCATACTGGCTGGATTAAATACAGTAATAGATTTTCTAAATTCTCTTTTGGTTTGTGCGATGAATATTTTGAAACGAATTTGTTTATATTTCTCATTTCTTTTTTTTTGTTTTTTCGTGCGTGCATCTGAATGTTAACCTTAATAATTTTTTTAAAAATGCAGGTACCTGGGATCAGGTCTTGCATGGATGGAGCAGGTCCAGACACTTTTTCCATGGAATTGGGAAACAGGTCGCCACTGGGTCACTGTGAACTCTTTTTCCAAACGGAAGAGGCTGCAATTGCCAAAGCGTTGCACCAAATTGTTGCCGAGTGAGTTTCGAGACAGAAAAGCCCTTTTTTGAGAGCTCTGGTACTGTAGAACGAAATTGTAATGACTGTGAAGGACTCGTTATTTTGGAAATTTTTTTTTGTCGCGTTCAAATTATCTTGAAGCAGAATTAATTTGTAGTAATTCAGTCGAAATATTACAGTACGGAGCTTCTGTACGCGATTCTGTCCAATTTTTACTGCAGAAGAGAACTTGGAGAAATTTGTAGACATTTTTTTCGAAGTTGAGCGTGAAGCTGGAATCGTTCAGAATTTTAGATGATCAGATCTTTCTGAACGATTCTTGCTTTGTTCGCATGATTTTCTGTTTTCAAATATTTTTGTTCAATTATTTTGCTACTGTGGCGTCGGTTTGGTACAGGAAACCAATTCGCACTTTTTCTTATGCAATTCCCTGGAAGTCGTCAATGAATGAATGAATGAATGAAATATAATTTACTTGCAGTTTCATGCGGAATTGGCGGAAAGAGGCGGACGGGTCTGGGGATCACCGAGAGCGACTGCGTTCCTTCACCTCAGTCGGTTCTAGTTCCTCGAAGGCGACGAGCATCCGGCGCCACACGAGCGTCACGAGCCGCCACTCGAGCACCGTTACTCCGCCACCATCA